TTTCAATCCAATTTGATTTTAATTCAATTCATTAAAACAGGGTTAACTTTTAAAGTAAATAGCTCCAGCATTTTAAAATGCCTTCCCAAAACAACGCCTTCTCAATTTAAAAATCCAATTTTCTGTATTTTTAAAAGGTTTTTTCTTCCCTTGGTCTTTTCTTTCCAATCTAGTATTTTTTTCAAAATGTTCACTCACCACTTTAACAAGTAGTTCTGAGAAAGTCATTGTCCTGGATTTTTCCTTTTGGGGTTAGGCTTTGAGTAAAAAGGAATCCTCTCACCAGCTCCAAACATTGTTCACTAACTCCGCTCCAACACTAGTCTTAGCTGTTCCTTGGCTGTCCCAGTTTCATGGCAGCCATCTTTAGCTGCCTCTTCTCGTTGTGGCTGAGAGAGAAAAGAAAACCCTGGGTCAAGCAAGGGAGTTGCAACTCTCTAGACCTCACAGGACACTCCTCTTTGCTTTTGCCGCCCTACAGGGTGGCTTTGACTTCTTTTGGAGCCCACCAGAACTCGGCACAGGAGCATGAAAACCTGCTGTGAGGACCAGACTCTCTCCCCTTCAAACGATAAGAATGAACTGGATATTTCAAAAGGAATTCTTTATTGAAACGGAAGTTATCCAGGTACTAGTCAAAGCAGAGTCTAATGTGCCTCCGGGTATGCAGCATAGATAAAGAGAGTTAGAACCTCTCCTCTTAGTCTGATGTGGATTTCGTCAATATAAAGAAGCAACATGTTAATTTCCCCCCCTTTTCTGGGAACATAGTTGAGAAAAATTTCCCAGGAAGTTTCTTTCGGAGCTGGAATTCTTTTTTTTTTTTAAAAAAACAAGTTTTTATTAGCTTTTAAAGACAAACAAAATATAAACCTTATACACATTAAACCTCTTTCCCTTGTGAATTTTTACAAGGCAGATAATACAATATTTTATACAATGTGATTTTAATATTTCTTCTCATTAAATTTAATCATCATATTCATATTTCCCTCTGTCTTGTTTACAATTATTCTCCTCCCGCTTTCCTCCAAGGTTTTACCAGCTCTCACATAAACAGAAACACACAAAACACATAAAGTAAAACTTATTTTTCAAAAAAGTAGCTTGGCCCCGGATTACCACTCTTTGTATGGACTTCAATTAAATTCATATTCATCTTATATGCCATTACCTATCTTAATTACCATTCTGTAATTTCTTTGTAGCTTCTCCCCGCTTTCCTCTCTTCTTAATTCTATTTTGTTTATTAACTTAATTTAAATCATTATATTTCTATCCTTTGTCCATTATTTTCCAATTATCTATATATTTCATTCCCCATAGTAAAATAAAAAAATTTCTCCTGAAATCACAAATCAAAGTATGATGCCTTTCCATTGCACCTCTAAATTAACATTTAAGGTAACTCCAAATTCCCTATTTGATTCTGCTTAGTACATACTACTTACAAAAGAAAAAAGAAAAAAATAGTGAATCCATAACATAATTAAATATATCATCAAACATTAAATCTCATAACATTTCAATTATCTATTTCAAAAGCAAGTATCACAATAATATATTCATACTAACATCCACGCAATAATCAATTAAGCTCTACATTTAAACTAAATATTTTAAACCTTATTTTATTAAATCTTAAATTCTACCATTATTAAACTTTTAATATTTTAGTCTTTACTCAGATCTTATAAAGTTATAATTTTTTATTTTTAATACAAATACTACAATACTATCATATGTACCTTGCAGAATCCTTTTAAAACCAAATTATATTACCCTTTATCCCTAAAAAACCATTTCTTTTTCACATCTTGTTTAATGCCCTCGTGGCCTTTTTCCCCCTTCTTCCTCCCTGTCTTATCCCATCTGGTCTTTTTACCCCCCTTAACTTCCCCTCTCTGTTGTATTTCTCTTCCCTTTTGCTTTCTAACCTCATATTGATTTTGCATCTTATTTTCTTCTTTCTTAAATATTTTTTTAAGTCTTATATCCTTTTCCCCCCCTTTCTTTCTTCTTTCTTTCTTAAGCACCTCTATGGGTTCATTAAAGATGGCTTCTTCTTCTTCATCTTCTTCCATCAATTGTTGTATTTGCTGATAAGTAGCAAGCGCCATTTCTAAAAAGCAAAAAATTTGCCCCGCATCATCTTTCTTTATTTTGCCATATTCCTCTCTCAGTTCATCAGCAGATAAAATCATTGTAAATCCTCTTCTTTTTCTTAAAACAGCCAAAGATATTTCCAAGCTTAAAGCAAGTCCCAAAGTCACCAAACAATCCAAACAAAGCACAAAGTTCTTCCCTTCTTCCTGGGTTAAAATCAGTTGCAAAGGGAGAAAAAGAAAGCCAGTCTGTATTTTAAGTTCTTATTGCAGTAACTTCCAATCTCTAAAAACTTCCAGGCATCTCCTTCAACAGAATCTTAGTATAAATTTTCCTTTTGTCCTCTCCCTTCCCATTTATAACCAGAAGCTTTAGATTTTTACCTTTTATAGAATAGTAGTATTTTCAGCATTCATTCGTTAATTCCATGTGGAAGGAGAGTAAACTTTCACTTGAAACACTTTCACTCACCGCTTGCCAATCTCTTCTGGAAACAAAGTATCTTTCAAACAAAAAACCAAATCTCAGATTTCAGGGTGTTAAATATATCCTCTAATCCCAGTTCAGCCAAAATAACTTTAGCTTCAAAAATTTCTCCTTCTTCCTCCAGCACGATCTTATCCGGTTGCTGACTTCTTTGTGGCGGCCATTGCTGACCGCCGCTGGACCGACTTGAGAAAAGGAGGTTGTGCCGGGTGGGGAAGGGGTCTGCGAATACCCCAACCCCTTGTCCGGATCCTCCCTATCTTCGGTTGCCTCTACGGGGCAACCTTATCCTCCGGACCTGTCTGGGTCGGAGGAACCAAGCGCGGCTAGCGTGGCGGGGATCGCAGAGATCGCGAAACCCCACCGCCTCCGAAGCCGACAAACCGGAACAATTCGGAGCTGGAATTCTTATGGCCCTTTCTCCTCTTGCTATCTCTCCAAGAGGTGACAAGTTTCCAGGCATCTGGGCTCCAGCCCCCAGTTGTATATCATGTGCAAGTTATACAGATTTAGTACAAGACTTAAGATATTCAGATTACATAAAAAAGGATTACTTGTACCAACTCCCCCCCTTCTTCCTTTGAAGAATGGCAGATATATGGATGCTACATCGCTAGCATCTGCTTGGATGACAAATGGTTGTTCAGCGTCTGGGTGTTTCAGGATTGGTTCTGTTGAGAATAGCTATTTAAGTTTTTCGAATGCCGCTTGGCATTCCATCGTCCAGGTAAGGGGTTGCCTTGGCTTCAGCTTCTTCCCCCTTTCATTTTTAACAAGCTTGTGATGGGGAGGGCGAAAAGCTGGAATGAACTGAAAGTAAAAGTTTGCAAAACCCAAAAAGCTTTGCAGTTGTTTGCGAGTATGGGGCGGCTCCCAATCAATGACAGCTTTTACTTTTTGTGGGTCCATCTCTATTCCCTTGTGGGATATTCTATATCCCAGGTAGTCAATTTTTTTTTTTTGATGGAACTCACATTTAGAGAGTTTTGCATATAGTTTGGCCTTTTGGAGTTTTGTGAGAACTGCTCGGAGTAACTTTATGTGGTCTTCATTTGTTTCAGTATAGATTAAAATGTCATTGAGATAAACTAGAACCCCTTTGTACAAAAATTCATGGAGAACCTCATTAATTAGTTGTATAAATATGGCAGGTGCTCCTTGTAATCCGAAAGGGAGCACTTTAAATTGGTAGCATCTCAGTGGGGTGTTAAACACAGTCTTCTACTCATTCCCCTCCCTTATTCTGATGCGGTAGTATGCCTCTTGTAGATCTAACTTAGAAAAAAAAATTCCTTTAGAGAGATGAGCTAGCATGTCCTTCATGAGGGGGAATGGGTACATATTCTCCACGAATATGGTGTTCAGGGTACGAAAATCCACACAGAGGCGTAGAGAGCCATCTTTCTTTTCATGAAATAATACTGGGGCTGCTATTTTTGGTCGGGTAGGTTCAATGAAACCCCTTTTTAGATTTTTATCGATAAATGCTCTGCTGTGAGGTCCAGACTCTCTCCCCTTCAAACGATAAGAATGAACTTCTGAAAGCTGGATATTTCAAAAGGAATTCTTTATTGAAATGGAAGTTATCCAGGTACTAGTCAAAGCAGGGTCTAATGTGCCTCCAGGTATGCAGCATGGATAAAGAGAGTTAGAACCCCTCCCCTTATTCAGATGCAGATTTCGTCAATATAAAGCAGCAACATATTAATTCCCCCCCCCCTTTCTGGGAACGTAGTTGAGAAAAGTTTCCCAAGAAGTTTCTTTTGGAACTGGAATTTTTATGGCCTCTTGCTATCTCTCCAAGATAGCAAGAGTATGGGGCGGCTCCCAATCAATGACAGCTTTTACTTTTTGTGGCATCTTGGCTCCAGTCTCCAGTTGTATATTATGTGCAAGTTATACAGATTCAATACAAGACTTAAGATATTCAGGTTACATAAAAAAGGATTACTTGTACCAACTCCCCCCCCCCCCTTCTTCCATTGAAGAGTGGCAGATACATGGATCTGACATCCGTTCTCCATGAGCAATCCTGCCGCAATGTCAGCCGGAAGTCAAGGGAAATTTTCTTGTTGGTCGCTCTCAGGCATGGTTAGATTCAGGATAGTTCTTTTTATGCAATGTTTTCAGCAAGAAAAAAATGTATTTAACAGAACTTTAGTCATTAAGCTGGAAATTGCTTTTGAGGAAGGGGCAGTGTGAGTTATGAATGGTGTCTGTTTAATTTTGAATGTCATTGCTATTATTTTTAATTATCCTTCAAGTTCAATTGTTATTTCTATTAATTAAATATTCCAGTTGTATAAACAGATGAGCATTTGTTATTATCTTGAAATTACTGAAACATTAAATCATTTAAGAAACAAATAAATGCATATTTAATTTTAATTTTGTTGTTTTTATTTCAGGTAAAACGACGCAGGGCAATTATTAACTTAAGGATAATCTATGAAATAAGTTTACAGCATGTTCAGGAATTCAAGCAAAAGTTCCAGTGAACATTCAAATCACTAAAATTACCAAAATATCTTGATCTGAAACATATTAATTAGCTCCTGACAAGAAACTCTAGCACTTGGATGTTTCCAGTGGTCTTAAACTCTGCAACTTATTGTCACCAGAAAACACATATATTAAAGAATATAATAATTGAAGGAACATGTCTAATAATGCAGAAATCATCAATCTATCATTTTTATTAGAGCATGAAAAAGAAACAATATTGGGAGTATTAAAAAGAGATGAATACTTGAAAAAAATGGAAGATAAACGAATCAGGTAATCTTTAAAAAGTATCTATACTATTTAAAATACCAAATATTAAAACTTGGTTTGGAAATGTGTGACTGTTATCAATGTTAGTAGCAATAGTTATAAATGTTCTGTTTTGCTCCTTTTTCATGTGCACAGCTTTGGCCTCCAACAGTCTGATTAATCCTTTAGAAAAATAAACTTTTTAAAAAGATTATTATTTGTGATAACTGGAGACTAATTACAAATTGTTGATATAAAACATATGTGCACATGGCACAATAGAGTCCTGCATGGTTTCACAGAAATCGATACGTTGTCCAAAGTAATTGGTGTGCATAGTACTAACATTATTTTAGAACGATGTTACACACACACACACACACACACACACACACACACTAATTATACAGTACTGTAGCACAAACCTTTCATATTCTGTTGAAATTATTGAATGAACTATGGTTATATCTTCTGGTTTTGCTGATATATAGTAATATGCTTATGTTCACAGGTTCTTTTACAATTCTTTTATTGTTAATTCTAACTAATATTGTGTATTGTATTTCCCACTATCTATCTCAGGAAATGCATTTCATATTAATTATTAATCTATTGTTTGGGCTACCTTATTTCTTTATTCTTAAATGTTTTATAGAAAGCACAGTAGTTAATTTATATGTACATTTAAAAACAGTTTAGGCTATTAACTTATCTTGGCACTTTTTCTTTTTTTGTACATAGTAAGAAAAGAATTTTGCACTTGCCTTCCTTTAACACAAATAGTGTGTTAAGTTTAAATAGTGTGCTTCAGTCTAAAACCCAAATGGCACAAATGAAGCTGCTGGTGCACAATAAGCATTAGTAAGACATGAGTGAAACTGATGTTGACAATTCAAAAAAAAAAATGGTTAGTATTCAAACTATGTACTATTATTAAATTTTTGTACAATACTTGTACTTCTGTTTATCCTGGCCCTAAGCAAGATAGATAAGAATAGAAAATTGGCTAAAAATCAAATCTTTTGCAGAGCATAGAAGAGGAAATAAGAATGCCAAAAAATAGACTCAACAACCAAAGAACCATAAAAAGCTTTATTCAGAAAATTTGCAAATATCAGGATAGGACCTCATCATCCTAACATTAGGAGATGAAGACACCACACCCAAAATGGTTATTGCTTTTTATAGGATATCACATAGAGAGAATTACATAATTCTTCCTGTTATTCCTGTTCAGTGATTTTAGGAGCTTTCCTTGGTAAATTTCCATTCTAGCTCCACCCAAACCACCATCTCTGATAAACTACCTCATTCTCATGGCCTTGTCTTCCTGGTATGTCCATCTTAATATTTTTGTAACACAATGGATCATTAACAAGTTCTGCTGGGTCAGGATAACCCAGTATCTCACACATATTCAAATATCGGATAAACATGGATTCCCTTCCATTCTTCATTTTCTCAGGTGTAACTCACAATATGTAATTTTCACACATAACAGCCTCCATAGAGGGAGAAATGTTAAGCTATGTTAAATGTTAAGTTAAGAAATATCACTCAAATCCTAAAGATCATTGTGTATCTAAGAAGTTTACTGGTTGTTCTTTATTAGCTGTTAGTTCATGTAGGTCTCTGAGCTTAGATGCACTTTGCTTTCTACAAAGACAAGAGTCAGTGACAAAGAGAAGATTGAACAAGTAGAGCAGAATGCAGGCAGTGATTCTCCAGTAACAGAGGAGTCTTCAGGGTTGTTGGGTGTACCTATATATATTTTAAGAATTTTGATTGTAATAGTAAAACCTTAAAACAAATCCATGACATATTTTCAGTTTTAATGTCAGCAGAATAGTCTTTAAAACGTTGCCAAAGGTTATATGTATCTTGTTTTAACCTTGATCAAATAAATCAAATTTATATTTCTTCCTTTTACTTCTAAGTCTTAATCTTTAGTTCCTTCAAATACTGTTGTAGAATTTGATTTCTCTTCATTTCTTCTTTATTTCATCATACAGAAATCCTAAAAAGTTTAACAAGCTTCTTTTGTAAATCCCCAAAAAAGAAAAAAATTCTGGTATAGTCCCAAAGCTGCTTTTTCAGGAAGCAATTGGACTTTCTTGGTTTTTCTTTGAAGATGTTTCACTTCTCGTCCAAGAAGCTTCTTCAGCTCTGACAGGATAGTGGGGAATGGAAGGATTTATATTCCTTGCAGACAGCTGGTCATGTGCATCCTTTTAGAGGATAGTTGAAGTACTTGGAGGTTTATCTGTGTACCCTAATAGTGCTCCTGGTTCCTGTAGTCTATAATTTTTTTCTCAGGAAATCCATTCCTATTCTCACACCATTCAAAGGGTGTTCAATGAATGAACAAGAAAGTCCAGTTTCCTCCTGAAAAAGCACCTTTGGGACAACCATGACCTGGATGACAGAGAATCTCTACAGACTTTCTGGTATAGTATTCTCTTTGCAAAACTCTCTGTATAGGTTACTTATATAAAACTGTTCAGAATTTGGGTTTCTGTTTTTAACTGCTATTTTATTGTTTAAATCTGAGTGTTGCCATTCTTAGCAATTGTTAATTTTTTTCTATTGTAATTCCATAAAATGCCTTATGTTATACTAAAGGATCATATGAAAATTCAGAAAGAAATTGAATATAATATTTGAATATTTGAATTTCATGTCTAAAGATAAAAGGAATTTTTATGATACCCTGTTTTCATCATTATTACATGCAGTGAAATCTTTAGTTTGGCTTGGTTTTCTTCAATTTGATGTCTACAGTAAAATGGAGACTAAAGTTTTCATGTTTCCTAGTTTGATATTCTGGGAGTTGTAGGATTTGAGGCCATCAAGTTTGAACTGCTGGATTTGACATGTGTTTCTAAAGTTGGTTAAGCCAGTCCTAACAAGATATACGTACTATATGCACCTTGAATATGTTATAAAGTAGTGAAAATAATTGGTTATATTCCTAGCCTAGGGTAGGAGATACATACAGTATATAGGTTAATGTCTTTCTTGCAAATGGTAGTAGTGTTGGATAAATTTCCTTCTGGGTTCAGTTTCAAGTGGGGAAAAAGACACTGAAAACATGGAGGCTGTTTGGAAAGGTGGTTTAATGATGGAAAGGCTTGGATCTCCAAAGGGAAAAGGATGATCACATGCCTCAAGATATTAGGTGAAGGAAAAGAAGGGGCAAGATGCTGAGAGACCCTTAGTTTTATACCCTCTGTTGGGCCCCACCTTAGTGATTCCTGTTCCTGTGTAAGAAATGTATCCCATTGGCTGTCTGACTCCCAGGGGCAGGTTGTCTTAGCTAACTTTGTAGGCTTTGTCTGGACCACATGGCTTCACCTGAGTGCTGGCTGATGCAATCTTCCCAGGCCAGGTGGTAAGATGGGTAGAGGCCTTCGTTATGTAGAATACTCTGGCCCAGGCCTTAGTGGCCCCATTAGCAAAGGTGGGGGTGAGTTCCTGCCTCTCTGAGTTTCTACTTCTCTTTTAGTGGAAATATTCTGCCTTTTTAATATTTCCTAGGATATTTCATTATTCTAGGAGAGGGGTGGGCACTAACTTCCTACAGTAGTATATTGATACTGTAATTATACCAGATTTATTGGATTAATACAGCTGTAAAATGCATTATTTGCATCATATGTACGTTGTTCATAATATTTGAATTAAAATTGTCTTTTGTAGTCCAAGCAATTTTATATTAAACTACAATATTAGCTTAAATAAATGAAAATGTCTCTCTCTTAAGTATCAGATCCACTGATTTCAAAGGAAAGAAGGCAAAGTGCATAATTGGGCACCCTGAAAATTTACCTATGTTCTTAGATTTTTACTTTTTAAAATTCTATTAATTAAACTTTTCAACAAACACAGTTTTTATTCTCCATGTGAAAGCCAAATCTGGCTCTTATCTTATCTTATCTTCCCAATAAGCAACTGAGTCAGAAGATCATTTAAAAGCAGTTTATTAGGGTATCCTGATAAAGTGGGGTTCTCTTTGTAAAAGGGAGAGAGAACTTTGAGCCCCATGTTTCCCTCCTTTTTATAGTTAACACAACAAAGAAAATGCAAGAGGAAAGTTCATTGGACAGAATAAAGGTAATTTTCCCTTTGCATAGAAAACCAGTTACATGGTAGTCAAATATGTTACAGATTTGTATCCCATAATACCACACATATTTATTTAATATGAGGTCCGACGTCAGAAGGGTTGTAATTGTAAAGAAAAAGGTTGTTTAGAGTTCACAAAAGAGATAAACCAGACCTCAGGTTGTGCTAACAAACTTTTCTTATCTGGAGCTAGTCTCCAGCTTGTTTATCAGTTTAGGAATGTTAAAAGCTAATTAATCTGAACATAATTTTTAAAAAGAGAAAATAAATCAAATTAAAATACAAGGTAATTCTGTTAGTTAACAAATAACAAAACCCATGTTAATTGCCCCTCATAATCCCCCTTTAATGCTAAAGGGAAAATAAAAGATGCCCTTTCAGCATCACCAAAAAAAGAAGTTTTGACCAACAGGATTAGGAACCAAATGCGTAGAAGAATCAATTCAGGGAAAAGGGAATAGAAGCCTGGTAGAAACCAGTGCACAAAAACACATTGAATTGGGCAGGCACCCTGAGGAAAAAGAAAGAAAACAAAATCCCTAATATATCAATCAAAATAACAAACATCAAAAAATGGTCAATTAGGTCAAGACCAGGGGTGGTATTCTACCGGTTTGGCCTGGTTCTATAGAACTGGTTGTTACAGTTCCCGGTAGTTTGGAGAACCAGTAAATCGGGTCTCTGGCTGGTCCCGCCCCTCTCTGCCTACTTCTCCGCTCGCTTCTCCGCTGCCTGCCTGTCAGTTCTTATCACGCATGTGCGACATTGCACGCATGCACAACACTGCTGCCTGCTCTTGCGTGCCTACCAGGCCAGCCATTGCTGCCTGCCTTCTGCTGCGGCCCTGCCTTTACTGATCTCCCTGGGTGAGCCCCAGTTGCCGTCCCCCTCCCACTTGC